GCACTTGTAGTTCGTGCCCTTCGGTTCGCTGCTGCGCCTATGTGCGTTTGTCTGCGAATTTAGTTCATTTGTACTGTGCATGTGCAACTGCGAGCATGCTTGCAGGTGCGGGCGGCTGTCGACAATGACGGCTGGGTTCGCACATTCGCTCCGTACCGCATCCCGGACGCTGCGTCCGCTCCCTGACCTTTGCCTTGGAGCCGCGAACCAAAAATCCCCACCAGCCCCACACTGGACAAGTGGACCTACTCTCCTTTTCGGGCCCGACGCGGGGGGTCCCCCCCCCAGTACCCGACATCTCACCCCCTCTGGCACGACAGGGGGCCCGCCCGACCAGGGCAGACAGGCCCCGGGCTCATTCACTGTGCTGTCCGACGACGACAACCAACCCACCCGCTGGTGGCGGGGGGTCGGCCACCCCCCCCCGCGCGTCGGCGGGTCGTCCTATCCAGGTCATAGTTTGGGCAAAATTGACTCTAGCGGCGATCAGCTGCGACCCCAGAGGACCATCCCCACTGAGGCATCGCTCCCCGCAGGGACGGACCAGCACTCAGCGCAGCCCGAGGTCCACGGAGAGACTTCCACACGCCCCTCGGTGCCATGACCTTCGAAGGACCCACCCAACACTCACTGACCTGAGCGGCGATCAGCTGCGACCCCCGAGGACCAACCACTTCCCCCATCCCACGGGTGCGGGGGCCTGACTGAGGAGAGGGGCGGCTTTCCCCCCGCCTCTCTCCTCGGGGGCCAGGAGGGTGTCCCCCGCTCTTGGCCCCGGGGACCTCCGCCGTACTGTCCGACGTTGGTGGTGTCGCCCCACTCCCTGGGCCGCCCACGCCCATCGGTGTACCAGGACTGGTTTTCCACTCTCAGCGGCGGTCAGCTGCGGCCCTGGAGGACCACGTGGTGTTCGTTGACGTTCCAGGGGCCTGGATGGGAAGTGCCAGCGGTGGGCTTGGCCTGACTTTGCGTCCGACGGCCCTCCTGTCTCCCACTGTGCAGCCCCCCCCAGGCACACCGCCCTAAGACAACAGCACACCCCGCCCTTACCGGCGCCACGTGCCCCGTGAGGTACAGCGCAACCTGTTCTCTTGGAGACCCACCTGCTCTGGTCCGGTTCGCCGTCACGGCACCACCACTTCCAGTGCGCTCCATCTTTCTTTCTTCGCTGGCGATGCTCACCACGCCAGCGGGTTCCCCCCCACTCAGTGGCCTTGCCGTGCCGGCACGCGCTGGATGGCTCACAGTCGCTCGGTTACCCCCTGGCACTGTGACGTGGTCTGACTGGGGCTGGCCATGGTGCAGAGTGGTTCAGCCTTCCGCAGCAGGTGCAGTCCTACAGGCCCACCTTCAGCCTCCCCTATGCGTTGCACCACGGCTCACGACTGCTTAGCCTGTCTGGCTAGCTCAGGTCGTCCGCTTGGAGCCTGGCGCCACATTGGCGACTCACTCCAATGGCCGGCACGTCTTCACCAAACACGAAGGACTTGCCCATCGTGGTCCGCGTCCCCTCTGTGCGGGTTGTGCCTTGGCCGCTTGAATTCCGTGACATTTTGTCCAGTGCACGTGCCCGAGCTTGCAGTGCGCCGATCAGTTCAGCTTCACCCGTCAGCCCGCAGCTGCTGTCTGAGTGGGCCGGCCGGCCTGCGCCTGTCTTAGCTAATTCGCCTATTTCGCGTCCCAGATGTTGCTTTCGCCGCCTGACCGTCGTCTCGCGGCCGCGACCGAAAAAGTATCCCCACCAGCTGGACTCGCCGCTGGCGCGCTCGCCCGCGGCCGCTGACTAAAAAAGTATCCCCACCAGCGCTAGTTCGCTTCCGCGCGCTTGGGGCTCAATTTAGATCGTGGCTCTTTGCTTCGCTCTGATGGCGCCTGGCACACCTGCGCGCTCGCGATCAAAAAAAAATCCCCACCAGCCTGTTCAGAAACCTTGCACATGAGAGCTGACTAGAAAAGGGACGAGTAGACACATATGGTGAAACAAAGCGTGCAACAAGGATGAACAGAGAGATCTCTGGGAGCAAAGGGGTGGCCTTGGCGGGCAGAGGGTTCTGGAAGAGGAAAGGCAGATATCGTTAGACCACCTTACAGTGGAAACCGATAGCAAGGATGGGTAAGCGTCCCAAGGGGCCCAGGGGGTACCCCTGCATCCTCGCCTCCTCGGTCCATCCTCCTTGACCACTTTCGATGGCCAGCCCCGCTCGAAGAGCTTCGGCATGGCCTTCCCGGGCCCCCTTCCCCGAAAAAACGGCGGAGAATCCTAGCGCCTCCTAAGCTCCAATTTGAGCTTCTTTCAGCGTCTTGGCTGCAGGCGCTTGCGGCACAACTTTGAAACATTATCCTGCTGAGGGTTGCAGACGCCTTACGAAAATTCAGCTCTTTTGCACTTCTAGCGCTCTGCTCGGGCGTTGGCAGAACTGGGTTTAGTGGGACCTGGTTTAGCGATGTGTACTGGGGGACGCCCCCCCGCCCCGTTCCACTAACCGGAACTGCCGTCACCCGAAAAAACACAAACTACGGCAGACCTGGTTCAGTGATTCTGGCGGCTCCAGGGCCCTACTACTAACGGGGTCCCCTTACCTGGGGTCCTGGCTTTATCCGATCTGCGCTTCGGACGAGTCCACCCTGGCTGGTTTCTCACCCTGTATTTCACGGACCTCGGCCTCGACGTCTAACGATATACGCAACACTCGGAGTGCTTACAGCAATCAGCCGACACTGGGCGCCGAAATAGACCAACGGATGCAAAGAGCCTGTTTCCACATTCCCAACCACAATGGCCGTTGCTTGCCCCGCCTGGACCCCCCCCTCCTCGGTTTAACGTCACGTTTCGCGCCGGCATCGTTTGGGAATGCCTAGGGATATTCAAGGACAGCCCGGATTACTATGTACTTAGTGATCTGTCAAATTCGGTGGAAACTCATGGTAACATCCGGTACCATCTTGTCCGCTCTTGCGAACCGACGCTAGTTGACGCTAAATCGATGCGAATCGGCGCTAAAAACAACGCTAATCGACGCGGACCGACGCTGAACCAGCAAGATCTCATCGACTCCCAGACGCGAATCGACGCTAAAGACGGAATTAAGAGGGCCCACCACGCTCCCATGATTTGCTACCGAAGCCAAGGAAAGATAGGCACAGCGTAGGGGCTTGCTGAGATTGCCGAGAGTAGCCACGAGTAGTGGACGTAGCGCGTGTGCGCGCCATAGCATGCCCGCGGCGGGATCTCCGGGATACAACATACTGCTTGTATGCACCACATTGCTTGTGTGCACAACAGCGCCTGTGAACATCAGTGCTTGCGTGCACTATTTGGCCAGTGTGAACAGCAATTCGTGTGTACGCCATGGTGCCTCTGTAAACCAGAATGCCTGTGTACACCACAGGGCCTGTGTGCACAACATTGCTTGTACAAAACAGAAGGCCTGTGTAAACAACAATGGCAAACTAAACCACAATGATCGTGAACACCATCATGTTTGTGTACACACGATGCTGCTGTACCGGCATACGTACGTACGACATGCACCACAGCGCTTGCTTCCACCACAACGCCTGTGTACACCAGAACGCCTGTTTACACTGCAGATGCTGCAGCAACATAATACCACTAATTGCACACTGCCTAGGTGCACCTCCAGGAGCCTCCGGAAGCCTCCTCACGACGTCGGTCGTCGGTCGTCGGCCATCGCCGTCGTCCCAAGCCACTCCCAGCCCAGACGTCACCATCCCCCGCGGGCCCAAATCGTGGCGTTCCCAGGCCCCTCCCAGGAATGGCCCGTTATCGCCAGAGGACAACAGGCAAGCTGAAGACGGCACCGAGAGAACGAAAGACAGCCCAGGGAGCCGAAGAATGGCCCGAGACGGCCCAAGCGACCCCAAGCTTGTCCCCAGACTGCCCCAAGAGACACCCAAAAAACAAACCAGAAGCAGACGGAGGGACAATACCAACCCTACACTTCAGTCGGGCGTGTCCCCCTAAAGGGGGATTTGCGACGAAAAATGAAACATACCCCAAAAAATATTCCCAAAAGGTCAGAAAATACTTAAAAAATAGTCTCCATCATATTTTTCAACTATTTCTGAATATACCCCCTGTAGAGGGACAGGCCCGACGTAACCCTACACTCCTCGGGCTACACGAAGGGGCGCCACACGAGCAACGAGGGGCCCTTGCTGGCCGCGGCGGGCCTCGGCCACAGATGGGGCCCCCGGCCTCGACTTGCGGAACGGCCCGAGAACCAGAGCCTGAAGTCGGGCCCGTCCCTGCACAGGGGGAATATTCAAAAATAGTCAAAACATATTCTGGGGACTATTTTTTGAATACTTGTTGGGCATCTTTTGAGCATGTTTGGAATCTGTCTTGTCTTTCGTTGAAAATCCCCCTGTAGGGGGACACGCCCGATTTAACCAGAGCCCCCATTGGCCCAAACTGGCAGCGCCGCGACCAGTCCAGAGCGCCCCAGAACGCTCTGAAAACATGTCTGAACGCTCCGGAGCGGCTGTCCTCATCCTGGGTGGAGGCCGCCCGAATGGGGTCCGAATAGATTAGGGTTAGAAGACCGTCCCGCATAGCCAATGCATTGGCGGTGCGGCGGCGTCGGGACGGAGAAGTCCTAAACCGGGATCGCGCCACCGCATCGCCGCTGCATCGGTGACGCGGGGCGATCCTGCGACCCCATCTTCTCCAGCCCCAAGCGGCCTGAACTGGGTCTGCAATTAGGTCGGGCGTCTCCCCCCTAGAGGCGGATTTGGGAGGAAAGACATACGCCACAAGAAACTCAAGAATAGCCAAACGGGAATCAAACATCGTCCCCATGCTATTGTTTTGCCTGTTTTTGAAAAGACTCCTCCTGCAGAGGCACACGCCCGACGGAAGTCTGCACGACTCTCCCGCTCCCCCCCCCCCCGCAGGCACCTACCTCCTCCTGGGCTCCCCGCTCTCCGCGGGCGCGGTGGGGAGGGCGGAGCTTCCCCCCCCCCCCGCGCGCTGTCACCACCACGAGCCGCGGCACGGCGGCCCTGAGAGGGGCGGCGCACATCCCGAAGCAGTGCGGTGAGAGAGGCGCACTCCTACAGACTGCCTCAACTGGCACCCAGCAACCCCCCTGAGCATCATGTTGCTCCCATCGCACTTCAGGACCACATCCCAAAAATCAGTTCGAGCACCTGGAAAAGTGTCGAAAGAGTGTCGAAAACGGCCCGACACGGGAAAACGGCTAAAACCATAGCCTCAGGGGCGCCCAAGAGGGTCCCGCAGGGCCTCGAGCAGGCTCCACCAGTCCCCCAAGACTCTCCTGTGGAGGGCCTCGAGAGGCCCAGAGCGTGGCTGCCGCATGGCTGTTCCCTGACGGTCGCGCCTCACGCTCGTCGGTCGAGGGTCGGTCCACGTGCGGTCTGCAGGGGCCCAGAGAGGCCTACTGTGAGAGCCCCAAGGTGGCCCCGCTTCACCCACTTCCAGCCCACTCACTCACCGACCGACCGACCGACCGACCGGAGCGAGTAATATGTCCCTTAGGTCCTGAGGGACCCATCGTACAGACAGTTGCTCGCGAAGGATGTCGAGACCGATGGGTCCCCCTAAGGGGTGAGGTCCTCACCTTCTCAAATGATGGCTGGCCGGAACCATCCGCATCTTCCGATTCCATCCTCCGCCTCTTCTCGTCCTTGCGATCTCCGCGAGCCTACCGGCTGTTGCCATGCGTCCAAAGCTGTAGTACAACCTCAAGAGAAACAACTGGCAGACGGATGCTGACGCGGCTTTGCCCATTAACCCCTGGACGATGTGGCTTAAACGCGTTACGCAACTGGCCGCCTGGTGCCCATAGTGGCTAGTGTTTCTGGTGATCCTACCTGTTTGCATCCAATCCACCTCTCTCCTTCATCATACTCATCCATCCTCACTATAATCTCAGAATGTTGCTATTCCTGCTGCTGCTCATCCTTGTCCCTCCACCTCCACATCCACCTCCACCTGCTCCTCCTCCTTCTCCTCCTCCTTGTTCCGCTGCATCGTCTTCCTTGTACTGCTCGTTCTTATCTCTCTCCTCTTCCCCCTCCGACCGCTCGATCCACCCATCCCATCCTGATCCTCCTTCCACATCCTTCTCCCACCCCCTCTTGGTGCTGCTCATCCGCATCCTGCTACCCATCCACCCGAGCTTCCTGCAAGTATGACTGCCCGTACACTGCCTATACAAATATAGTGCCTAGGATCAGACGCACACACGACCTCCAGAACACGCCACGGAACCAGACGAGCTGACATCTTGTTTCAATACCACATATCGAAATGACCATATACGACGACTGCCTTGGATGTACACACGTATAGCATTGGATGTACATGGTTATATGTATATATGCATAAAGCCACGCGCGTTATTCGAGCGCACTTATATTCTAGCAAGCCCAACCCCTGGACAATCTTACACACTCATGCGCTACAGTGCCCCGCTGACGGCCTGATCATGACTTGAAGAGTTAGCAATACCGAGCGCAGACGAATTAGCTTCAAATGTACACCCAATCAGGTTTGTCGCGAAGCAATGCAAAGCAGTGACCAGAATGCAACGCATTGCAATGGCAGTGCAATGCAACAAATCGCCTCGATAAGCAGATGTACACTCAACATGCAACGGCATGCGAAGCTATGAGCATGTATAGATGACACATAACGCAACGCGAAGTGAATCAACGCAACATAGGGTATCGAAACTCATGGTAAGGTAATTCACTGCAACGTGGAACACAATTCAATACAAACGTAGTGCGCATCAGCGTACATCAATGACATCTGATTCAGATGTTCCGACGATTTCGAGGGACCCAAAGAGCTCTGATATCGGAGACGCAACGAAGATATATCCAGGGGGGCAACACGGATAACCTGGGCAGGGGGCCAGAAGTCGCAACTGCCACCGAGTATATTTCACAGAAGAGTGAAGGACAGGTGGGAGAGAGGGAGGGACGAGGGAGAAAAGAGGGAGGAGGAGACACGCGGGACGGGTGAGAGAAGAATCAGGGCAGCGGTTGGCGGAGGGAGGAGAAACGGAGGAAGGGGAGAGAAGGGAGCTGGGATGGTGGAGCGATGGGAGGATGAGCGACGAGGGAGGGCGTGAGGAGGCATGGGGGAGCTACGGGGCCCTGTGGTGGTCTCCCGTGACGTTATGTTTGAAGGGGCCCCAGGACACACAAATAAATACACACAAATAAAAATATTCCCCATATTTTCCCATATTTTCTGGATTTCTGTCTTCCCCCCCCACTTCCCATATTTTCCAATATCTTCTGGGGAATCGACGATTAATTGTGTCTGTGTGTTTCTTTCCCTCCTGAATGTTTTACTCAAGAGGTACATGACCGCAGGAGTCCATAAACAAAACACTTCAAGTATACCTGGTTGGAGCCATCTGCTTTGACCAGCTGAGAAATCCCCTGGTGACTCTGAAGTGGCCCTCTGGGATCAAAGCTGGAAACCGCTGAAGCACTTTGCGTTTCCCGCGGAGGCAGTCTGGGAGCCCTCGCGGAAAATCCGCCGGCCCCCTTGTGGGGCCACCAGGCTGTAGGCCTGGGGTTTGCAGTTTCCTGTACCAGGTGCAGCTTCCAGTTTCCACTGTTACAGTTCTGCTTCTTGCTGCTTACTGTTCCGCGTTGATGGATCGCGCGAGGGGGGGAGGCCCCAAATGGGAATCTTTACCACGCCCTGAGCGTGTTGTCTGAATTGCTGGGGTAAGTAAAAATTTACACCCCTCACGCAGATTGGCGGGGTCAGGGTCCAAAAACATATAAGATTTGCAGCGTTTCTGAAATTTGCTGGCACCCCTCATGCAGATCCGGAAAGTCAGGATCGAAAAACACATGGGATTTGCAACATTTCTGACATCCGGTGGCAACCCTCACGCAGATCGGCGGGGTCAGGGTCCAAAAGCACAAGGGATTTGCCACATTTCTGACATTCGGTGGCACCCCTCATGCAGATCGGCGGGGTTAGGGTGCAAAAACAAAAAGGATTTGCTACATTTTTGAAGTTCGCTGGCACCCCTCATGCAGATCGGCGGGGTCAGGATCCAAAAATATAAAAGATTTGCCACATTTCGAAAATTCGGTGGCACCCCTGACGCAGATCGGCGGGGTCAGGGTCCAAAGACACAGGGGATCTGCCATATTTTAAAAATTCGGTGGCACCCCTCGCACAGATCGGCGGGGTCAGGGTCCGAAAACACTGGGGATTTACAATATTTTTTGAATTCGATTGCACCCCTCACGCAGATCGGCAAAAAACATAACGGATTTGCTACATTTCTAATATCCGGCGGCACCCCTCACGCAGATCCGTAGGGTCAGAGTCCAAAAACACAAGGGATTTGCCACATTTCTGAAATTCGGTGGCACCTGACGCAGATCCGCAGGGTCAGGGATGAAAAACAAACAGGTCCCGGCACTGCTTCATGGCGGCGCCCGGACCTCATGATTTAGCTTTTGCATCTCCCATTATCCGAGACGGGGGGGCGGCGGCATGGGGCGAAGCCCTTACGGATATCAGGTCGTTATCGGGACATCTATGGGGCATCCTAGGAAAATCTCGGAGACGTCTGGCCCCCCCACTTCCATGAAGGAGACAAGGGAGCAATGTGCACTGGACACCCCGCTGGTACCCCAAGGTAATGCGTGCGTATGTCCATCGACATGTTTGGAGATCGCGGATTCGCGCGCAGCGACGAGGCGGAGAAAGGTCAATGAACAGGCGGACGCGCGCGGCATATGTCATACATCCGGACTATTGCGCGCGCTTCGCTCGTTCTCAAGGTTTACTTGCCACGGGGCCTCGTGTCTTGCGCGCCAGTGAGGCGGGAACTGGATGATCGGGTATTCGGCTTGTAAGGTCACGCTTTGTTGGTTGAAGTCGCACTGAAGCTCGGTATTCGGGCTAGGATGAACGCACGTCGACATTTGAAACAAGTTCTTCACAAGAGGATACTATTCCTCACGCAATGCGTGGACCTCGCGCTGCTTACCTGTCGCACTGACGATTTGGGCGGGTCCGGTGAGGATTTTCCAGGTTGCTGCGCGTTGCCGCCGCGTGTGCTGGGTGGGTCTGGCGAGGTTTCGCCACGTTGCCGCTTGTTGCCGCCAAATTGCCGCCTCATCGCAAAACCATCGAAACCCAATAAACCCAGGGCACCCTGGAGGCAAGCAAGGTGTTTCTTGGCATGGGCCTCCACTGTATGGCGTTTCTTCATCTTCGACAGGGGGTACCCTGTGTGCTCCGGGTTCGCTGCGGCCCCAGGGCCCCCGGGGCCGGGTGTCTGGTCGGTTCCTGGATAGCTTTAGGTCGGGCGTGTCCCCCTGCAGGCGGATTGTGGACGAACATTTAGAAACTGTCACAAACAACTATGCACAAATAATCCAAACTAGTAGAGCAATCGTGTCAGTACTATTCTTCGAATACTTTTGAAGATTCGCCCTGTAGAGGGACACGCCCGACTTAAGGATAGCTCCTGGAGAGAGCTGCAGGGATCCAGAGAAGCAACTGGCAGGCTGGGCCAGGCTGCGCCAGCTGCACTGCCACGGCTGCCGGTCAGGCAGCGCCGCAGCAGCCTGCTGGAAGCTGCAGCTCGTCCCGCAAGCGCCCGCCTGCTCGTTCCCCATGCGCGAGACAGCAGTTCCTGCGCAGCGCTTCCTGAGCTCGCGCGCAGCTCTTGGGCAGCTCCTACGCGGCGCTTCCTAAGCCCGCGGGCAGCGCCTGGGCGCTTCCTAAGCCCGCTTCCTAAGGGGCCCAAGGCCCGCGGGCGGCGCCTGGGCGGCTCCCGGGCGGGGCTCCCCCGTGGGCTCGCGCACAGCTCTCGGGCAACCGAGCATGGTGCAAAGGGGGGACCGAAGCAGGGATGAGATCAGATCTTATCGTGCTGTCGACCGCCAACACGACAACGCATGGCTTTGCCTCTGCTTGGACCCCCCCCCTTGCACCAGACTCGGCTCCAGGCAACGCCTCTTGGGCTTGCTGCGCGGCTCCAGGAAACTCCCGCGCTGCCGTGCGCGCGCACGGGCGCCGCACGCCCGCGCGCGCTGCTGCCTGGGCTAGTGGACTGGACAGGGGCGGGAAAGGGTCATTGCACAGGCCTTGCAGACGTGCTGCAGCGGATTTCTGCGTGGCCTCTGCGTGGATTGTTGCCCGGAGCGGCGAGTGAAAAAACGGCGCGAATTTCGCGTGGATTTTGTTTGGTCTTCATCCCTGGCCAACAACCATCCGCACAAAATTCACCTTGAAATCCGGAACGAAATTATCCGGGAGGACACTCCAGGCCCATCCTATCGTTTTCCGAATGAGATCCGCTCTGCGATGTTGGCGCCATCAAAAGGGACGTATACGCATGTAGAAATACAATCAACACGTATCATACCCATCGGTCGGAAGGAGTAGGCAGAAACAGAACGTAGGAAGGCGGATAAAGTAGGTTGGTTTGGGGCCCTCCCAGAGAGTAACAAAGCACAGCAAAAACATCTTGATTCTTGAAGCAGGCGCTAGATGTAGACCGGCATCTGGGAACCCAAAAACACATGTTTTCCACGACCGACGGGTAAGGATGCGGGGTACGGATGCAAGGACCTTGGAGGCCCAAGTCGAACGAGGCCTGGCCAGCGAGAGTGGCTGAGGACGGGCCGAGAAGGCAAGGATGCAAGGGTACCCTTGGGAAGGCTGCCCATCCTTACTATGCGGATTGACTGTACCACGTGCGGACAATCACATCGCCTCGTCGCCATCGCGGCCCTTCTCGCAAAAAGAGAAGCGGAGGCCTCTCGCCGTCCCCAGGGTAGACTGGCATGGGCCTCCAAAGGGCAACCGCACATGGGTAACGGGTGGTCAAGGGAAGAGAAGAACACTGACAGGGTTCTTCAAATATCCCTCCAGCACGCTGCATGCGGTCGCTCTGGCAAAATGCGTTCTGGACATCTGCGACGTCCATCTTCAGCATCAAATCCATGGAGATTTGGAAGAGCATGATGGAGGAGGTTTGAGGAGTAGGAGAGTAGACTTCTAGGCTGCCCGTGTCTGGATCTTGATGCCCGCGCACACACCAGCAGCTCTTGGCCGTGGGGGCTTGAAGCGTTCCCTCTGCCGGCTTCCATCTGCGCACCATCCTAGAACTGATGATGCGCCCAAGGAGGAAGAGAGAGAGCCTCCGAGAAGTGCCTTGAGGGTGATCTGAATTACGAGGTGGACTCGAACGACGCTCTCGGGACAAGCCGTGTGAATCAAACGTGGGACGCCTTCGGACCAGGCGAAAACAGAGGCTCAGCATATCAAGCCGAAGGTTGATAAACCACGGGTGACGGTGATCTCACACCGAGCCTCCTTACCAACGGCAGGCCAATCGAAAAGGTATACATACGGGCTCCCTTCTCTTCTGGAGAGCGTGCAGGAGAAAGGGGGAGGGGAGAGAGGAAGGGTGAGGGGAGGCGAATAGCAAGGGTAGCAGAGTAGCATCCTCATACCGTTCCTTCTCATGTTTTTCATACCCTCCACCACACTCCCAGGAGGCGGGGGAACAGTCGGATCTGCAGCGCAAAGAAGGGTAAGTCGTTGTCAACGCGTTTGTCTTCCTCGCATCGCCCAACATTTCACTGGAATGTGCGCAGGCTAGGGCCACGGGGGTGCTTCCAATTGCAGGCGAGTGCCGAGAACCTGGATAAGTCCCAACCTCGGCCAACTCAAGCGAGGTTTCAATACCTCAACTACCTAAGCCCCACATACACACCATCAGACCGTCAATGGCACGGATCAAGATGCAACTGCCAATCCGGTCAGTGCACAGGAGCAAACGCAGCAACGACGCATCAAACAACGACGACATCGGAGTGATTAGTACGTGCGTCAATCCCCGTTAGGCCCCTAATGGCGAACTGTGAATTCTGGGAGTATACGCTCACGATTCATCTACTACCTTCCAGCCCACAATGCTTTGAAATGCAGCGTGCAAGCCTTACAGAAGATAATTGGCCATTCAGGCGTAACGTCTTCGGCAGCATGCTTTGGATTGTTGCCTGGAGGTCGATCTCGGGGGACTGTTCCTACCAGTGGCGATGATGCGTGAGAAGTCGGGAGGCACATGACAATGGACTGCTAAGGCAGTATCGCATTGTATCGCATGGGCTGCCGTTGCGAATTGCACGCCATGGCGAAGTCGGCATGAACAAGCATAGTCTTACGTACTATCAACCATCGCGTCTCCTAGCACATCGAGGGCCAGAACGACATGTGACCACAAGACCACCGTATCGCTCATGTTAGTCCACCGCGGCGACAAGTTAAAACACGTGAGAATGAAACCCAAATGTGAATGCTAACGATGCTATTTCCAATCCGTGTCGATATCAATCGTGAGGGCCACTCGAAGCAGACAGTACATGGTATCAGAGAACGGTGCCAATGAAGATTCCTACAAGGGTCCGCGCGTGATATCCCCACAGCCGCAGCCTCCGATCCAACCCACGCTGATTCTCCATGTCTATGCTTCTCTCTCGCTCGCCAACGGATGTTTCGCGCCACCAGTCAACCGAACACCTTTCGAACATCTAAAAAAACACCCCGAAAATCTTTCGACCATCTCAGACCCCCCAACATAAACTATCCATTTACATTGAGATTCAAATATAAGTCTATACTCTTTTCTCGCTCGCTCTCTCTCTCTCTCTCGCTGTCTCCCTCTCTCTGGTTCCCAGCTGCATGACCTGGACCGCCTAAGGCTGCTGGCGGCACCATAGGAAGACACCCCTACTTGATGTGCTGCCGTGCTGTGCCCTCTCCCACTGGATCATGCGGGGGCTGCTTCAAAATCGCAACTGCAAAGCTGCAAGACGAAACGGCAACATACAGTAGAGGCCAGTCCACAAGACACTTTCGCCAAAAGAAACCGAACCCTGAAACCCCAGGACGTCGATAGGTTTCTGGGGTGGGCGCGTCATGCTGTCTGTCGCAAAACCATCGAAATCCAAGAAGCCCAGGGCACCCTGGAGACAAGCAGGGTGCTTCTTGGCATGGGCCTCCATTGTATTTCTCGAATCGGGGCTAGGCCCACCTCCCTGGCGCGCGGAGCGCGCCAGGGAGCGGCGATGGAAACGCCGCCAGGTGTGTTCCGTTTTCCCCGGCAATGCAAGAGGTATACCGCCTGCGCGAACTGCAGCTTCGGGTGCACGCGCTTGAGCGTCTGGTCCAACTTCTCGAGCTCCATCCTGGCGAACTCCTGCAGCTGGTCAGAAGGGGCCAAGGGCCACACCAATGAGTAGACACCAATCCGAGGGTTCCCCACATTCATCGATTTTTGTTCCTGGATGGTCGTCTTCCACTCCACTTCTCATTTTCTCGTACCTTTTCCGGGGAATCGACGATCATTTGTGTCTGTGCATGCTTTCCCCTCCTGAGTAAGGGGGACGCGCGCGCCGTCTCCGAACGAATTCCCCCAAATTCCCCCTTCAGCACCCTCTGTTCCTCCCCCCTCCTGCCGGGAGGACGTAAGAGGTGGCGCAGCGCCGCAGGCGGGATCGGACGAAGACGCCCTGGACAGCCCCTGGAATTCTTCCCTGACGGCCCCCGAGAACCTTCCGACGAGACCCCAAGAAGTATCCTTGAGGACTCTGAGACTCTGGTCCACGTCAGCGTCGTCGTCGCCGCCACCGCCGCCGTCCCCCTTCAGGGTCGGCAGCGCCGGCCAAGGCCTCCGCAAGATTCGCTTCAAGCCGGGTCCGCTCCCCAACCCCACCTCAAGCTGGGTCCCTCTGCATACCCTCGATCCTGCGGTCTGCGCCCGGGTTGGGGTGGCGCAAGCACTGTCTCGCCATCGCTCGGACGTCCATTCCCCGTGCATTGTTTGGTTCCGTGCGTGCATTTTGCTCGCAGGGTGACCTCAAATGCTCCTCGATGGTCCTCGTCGAGAACAAAAAAAGTGCACACGTCCGAGCGATGCCAGGCCGTGGTAAAATTGCGGGAAGAGTAGGAGCGAAGGGCCCCACCCGCCCACCCCGCGCAGAGCCCGCACCTGCGTGGTGCGCGGAAGGGGGGGGAGGAGTCCCGCCCACTCCGCTCCTGGAGGCGTGGTCTGCAACAGAGCGTGTCGTGGCTGCGGCCTGCAGGCGGAAGGAGGATCGGGTTGCACGAATGGCGGGCCCCAGCACCGTGTGGTGACATACCCGGCGGTGACCTCGAAGTCCACAAAGACCTCACCGCAGGGTCCATCACCACACGGTTTTGGGACCTCGGAGGCCCCAATCGCCCGAGACATCCTCGAAGAACAACCGAAGCCCCAAAACCGTGCGGTGACCCCGAATCCCCACCGACTCACCACACGGTGTGGTCACTACCCCGTTTGGGGGCCCCCGACGAAAGAAGGCATAGCAGCCCACGCACTCCTTGCGCCTCCTGGCGCAGGAGCAGAAGAAAAACAACAAACATGCAAAAGCATAAACTTTTGGCGCTCCGCGCGGATTTCTTGGATCTGCGCTGGACCCCCCTCCCTGGCGTGCGGAGCGCGCCAGGGGCGGCGCCAGAGGCGCCGCCAGGGGGGGCCCAGCGCAGATCCAAGAAATCTGCGCGGAGCGCGAAAAGCTGATGTCTATGCCGCTCTTTCTTCCTCGGAGGAGGCGCCGATGCATCGGAGCAAGCGCCCGGCGGCGGGGCCGAAACTGGCTGCACGCAGCAGACTCCGCGCAACCCCCCATTGCCTCAGGTCGGGCATGTCCTCCTACAGGCGGATCTTACACGAACAAATTAAAGCATTCAAACACATACAAAACTAATCAAACGTGAATCCAAACATCGTCCCCAGACTATTTTCTGACTACTTTTGAGAATCCCTCCCGTGGAGGGACATGCCCGACTGAACCCGAGCAAAGCCCGCACCTGCGTGGTGCTCGACGGGGGGAGACGTCCAGTCCAGCCGGCTCCCGGGCGCGTGGCCTGCAACAACGGGTGCCGCGGCTGCGGCCTCCACAGGGCGGGACCCGACAAAACCTCGCATCGGGAAATGGTTGGGTTGGGCCGAGATATCCGAATTCTCGCGCTCGGGCTTGGACTCCCCGAAAAACGAACCCGCGCTGGCCCCGGCCCGATGTCCCCCTGCTGACCTGGGGCTCTGAAAGAGGGGCGCCCGATCGGTCTGCACCGGCACGGAACCGAAATCGAATCGGATCGAACCGGACGCACACCAATCCCATGCAAGCATCGGGCCACGCGGGATCGTCGGAGCATCGGAATGGAATCGGATCGGATCGAGCTGGTCGGGATCGACATGGAATCGGATCGGTCGGCTCGAAGTGGGCCCTGGGCGTCGTGGATGCAGCCTCCAAGCGGGAGGAGAGCGATCCCCAGCGGAGGCGCTTCGCGGAATCTATTCGCAAAGTCGCCCGCCAGGCGCAACCCAGCCTACCCTCCACTCTGCCTGCCCTCCGGGGGGTGGGCGCCACTTCGCCGAAGCCAGGCAAGGCTCAGAAAGAGTGGTGCCCGCGAGGGGCCCAACTAAATTAGGGCCAGGGCTGAACGTAAACGGTGTTGTTCGTTTTCGGTTTGTCTTCGTTTTCCCTCGTTTTGTCTTCAATCCGCCTTTAACGCAAAACGAAATCGAAACGAACACGGCCCACGAAATCGCCCAAACACCGTTTAGGTCCACACCTGCTTGGGGCTACAGCCATCACGCTGCCAGAAGGGACACCACAGAACGGAACGACGGTGCTTTCCTGGCCACGGCGAGCCTCGGCCACGAACGGCCCCCCCGGCCTATATCCAAGGAGAGGCCCGATAACCAGAGCCCCTCCTGGGCCCAAAGTAGCTGTCCCTCCTCTGCTCCTCCTCTTCCTCCCTCCTCCTCCTCCTCCTCCTCCTCCTCCTCCTCCTCTTCCCCCTCCTCCCCTCCTCCTCCTCCTCCTCCTCCTCCTCCTCCTCCTGGCGGGCGCGCCTCGTCCATCTTCTCCACCGCCGGCTCGGGCTCGAACCGGGGGATGAGGGGGTTCTCGTATGCCCACTGCCGGCCGGTCGGCGAATGGAGAAGGGTGGGCAAGAGAGGCATCAGCAAGGCAGCTCCACCTCCGTCCGAGTATCGTTTTCGGTGCAAGCCTCGCCTGAACACATACTTCGGCACTTGGTACCACTCTCTCCAAGCCAGGAGCGGTGCACGTCGAATCGACAAATCGGATCGGATTTGGCATCGAATCGGGTCGCATTGGCATGGAGTCGGAACGGAATCGTCGGAGCATCAGAATGGAGTGAGCCATCGGATCGAGAATTGTCCTGCAAGCTCCCTTCCACCACGCCCCCCCTGCGCGTTGACGACGCAGCCGCGCGCTCAAGCTTTTCTCTGCGTTGCGCTGCCCCTGCTCCTTCAGCGGCGGCAGCTAAAGCGACGGTGTTAAAAGCTGTGCGCGATACGAAACAAGAACACCATGCTGGCAATGCTCCGGACACCGCTCTCTAGACCTCCGGCTCGCCTCGGCAGCGGGCCCGCGCCGATGCGCTCAGCGGATCGTCTCGGTGTGCTGGTAGCAGAACGGGCGCTCGTGTGCGGCGCACACGGAGTAGAGGCCTCCCGGCCCAGGCCCCCCCACGGGGGCGTCCAAGAGGGGAGGGGCTACCAAGAGGGGGGCTGTGCAAATCATGGCCCGAGGCATGTGCGCGGACCGGGGACGGGGGGCCAGGGAACGCATTGAAATGAGAAGAGGGGCCATGAAATGTCGGGAGGTATCATGGCCCTGGCCATGACATCCACCTCCCCCTAGTCTTCACCCCCCTCTTGGCCGCTCCCGACCCTCCCCCCGCTCGCCTGCCCTCCATGCCTCCCCCCGATCCCCCGCCCCGTTCCCTGCCCCCGGCCCTCCATCTCTGCCTCGGACGGCCTCACTGCAACTAGGTCGGGCGTGTCCCCCTACAGGCGGATTTAGGAGGACAATTTTTTTTAATGCAAAGAAAATGCCCCCAAATAATTCAAAAATGATAATGATAAAACAAATTCCAGAACTCTTTCTGAGTATTCTGGAATATTCCTCCTGTAGAGGGACAGGCCCGACTTAACACTGCAATAACGACACTGAACCTGGCCAAACCCATCCTGGATCCAGGATCGGCCTGGCCGGGCTCGGTGTGAGGATACCACAGGAGCTCGACCACAAGAAACCTTCCACAAGAAACCCAACCCTGAGACTCCAGGGCGCCCATTGATTTTTAATGTGGGAGCGTCACGCTTTCCATAGCAAAAACCAGCGAAACCCAAGGAACCCAGGGCACACTGGAGGCAAGCAGGGTGTTTCTTGGCATGGGTTCCCCCTGTATGGTCTGTTGGGGCCCTTCGACTCTCCCCACGCCCTCTCGGGTGCGCCGAAGAGTGGGGGTGCACATCTCAGACTGGGGCACGTGTGCGGACAGGTGGGGACCAGGGCGTGTGCCGGGAGAAGAGGAGGGGGGGCATGGAACCTGAGAGGCCCATGGGCCCGGCCAAATCAGAGTGACGGGGCCGAGCGGTCGTTCGCTGTCTTTGGGCGCGTGGCTGCGGTCGGGTTCCGCGGTGCGGACTATTGCTCTTGCGTTGAATCCTCACTTCTAGAGAACAATTATGGTGGATCCCCCCTGCCCGGTGTACCGTGTTTTTCAAGTCAAGTGCTCCTCCCTGGGTCGTATGCTGTTTTTTTTCACGGCAAACTTTTCCTCCTCAAACTGCGCCCCTGACCCCTGTTAAAAAAACAGCGGCTCCCACCGTACACTTCCTCATGACGTAGTTCAAGATAATGCCCTCGCGCGGGACTTCCTCACGATGTGTGCAGGGATCGCGCTCGCGCCTGGGACTTCCTCTCACAATCTACTCAGACGCCGCGCCCTCGCCGCTCAGGAATCGCGCTCTCGCTATGGTTTCTCTCACGGTTTACCTGGAAAACGCGCTGCCGCTCGAAACATCCTCGCGGCTCACGCAGGACCGCACGCTTCACGCGGGTTCGACCTGGCCGCCTTGGCCCACCTTCCCGGCCCGCCCGCTGGGGTCCACCCGCCTGGGCGGCCCGGCTGGTTCTGCCGCGCCCCTCCTGCAAATTTCTCTCGTGGTCAATCCTTCGCCCTCCCCCATTACATCAGTCCTCTCTTCCCTTGTTCTAAGGGCTGCGCCAATGCAAGCTGAGAACATGTACCCCGACAAGGGCACGATCGAAAACGAAGAGGGCGGGTGTCGAGGGTTTGGGGTATACGTGTCGAGTGACACGCGAGGTGTCGCATTCGTTCGTGGGACCACGAGCCATGGGAACATGATGAGACTCAGAACTCGTTGATGGGTCCGGAACTAAAACAACAAAAACAACGACAACAAGGACAACAACAACAACAACAACAACGACAACAACAACAATCAGTTTAAGACTGCTCGCTCCTATCTGCGCGAATGCCATTCAACACGTCTATGCTGAACCCTTGGTACTCGCCCTGTCGTCTTCGATCGTCCCCCGTTGGGGGCACATTTTCCTTACTTGCCACGCGCATTTCAAGCAGCCCCTAAAACACGGGAAGAAGGGACGGATGGAAGGGGGAGGGAAAAGGATAGAGCACGAGAGAAGCTGGCAGGAAGGGTGCTAGGAACATACAATGCGTGGCAGAACCAAACGGGCAGATCGGGCTGGCAGATCCTAGCGGGCGGGTCGGGAAGGCGTGCCCAGGCGGCCGGATAGAGCAGGCGGGTTGCTGAAGCGAGAATCCTGTATGGATCGCAAGGGAGTCTCGAGTGGTATAGCGATTTTCACACCAAAACGAGAACATGATTCCGAGTGTCGAGGGTGCAGCGTCTGAATACATTGCGAGGGTGTCCCACGCGGGAGCGCGAATCCTGCATACATTGTGAAGAAATCCCGCGCGAGATCGCGATTCCGGAATAATTTGTGAAGAAATATCAAGCTGGAGCTGTTGTTGTTGTTGTTGTTGTAGCGGGGGGGCCAGGACATTGTTTGAGCAGGAATGCGTTCCTTGATGACAACCAGGGTGCGAGCCCCGAGAGGGGGCATTCTAATTGAACAACGTATATTGCGCAATAGTTCGACAACAAGGACAATTCAAACACAACAGCAGCAGCAACAACATGATTTACATACTGTTCGCTCATAGTGCTCGCGTTCCATTCAACACGTATGTCCCAAACCCGCGGTAACCGCACGCCTCGTCATCGATCGCCTGGCGGGTCGGGAAGGCGGGCCCAAGCGGCCAGGTCGAGCAGGCGGGTTGCTGAAGCGTGAGTCCTGCATGAAACGCAAGGAAATCTCGACCGATAGCGCGATTCCCATGAAAATTGCGAGAAAGACCACAGCGAAAGCGTGATTCCTGTGTGTGTGTGTGTCGAGGGCGCGGCGTCTGAATCAATTGCGAGGGTGTCCCACGCGAGAGCGCGATTCATGCAGAAAGCGTGAGGGAGACAGCGCTTTCGGAATACATTGTGAAGAAGTAGCAGGCCAAAACCGTTGTTGTAGCCGGGGGGCCAAGGGCACAGTTTGAGCAGGAAGACCGTCCCGGATAAAAACCTAAATGCGATCGCCGAGGGGGGCACGTCAACTGAAAAGTATAATATGCACCGGCGGGGGGATCAACAATACCTATTTTCAAGAGCGGGAGCTCAACAACAACAATCTAAACAACACCGACACCAGCAGTTACAACAGCAACAACAACAACAACAACAACAACAACAACAGCATCAGCAACAACAAAAACAACAGCTACAGTTACAGCAACAATCGTTTTACCGAATGTTCTACGACTCGATGTGCAGCATGCAGCAATCATAATAGTTCCAACCATCATGGGTACCTTTTTACTGCACAGGGGGACCGATATTCTCGTACTCGAATCTCACGCCCGAACAGGTCTTGACAACAACTCATCCGAAACACTTCGACATCTCCAGCCTGGATGGCACATCGCCTTCGCAATCTCCCTGCCCACGCCTTGCTCCTAGGTGTCACCACGCCCGAGTGGCCCAAAACCCTGGGGAGAAGACCCACAACCTCTGGGAAAGCCCCCGGAGCCCCATCCTCTGGAACCTTCTGGAGAACCCCCAACGTCTCCCAGAGAAGTTTCGGAACTCCTGTGGAAAAAATGAGGGCCCGTGGGAGACGCTGTAAAACTGAGCTGAAGGATTTCGGACTGCGCGGTGCTACGCGTATCGCTCCCACCCCAGTCCTCACCTCACCCCCCCCTTTCATGGACGCCGATCATCCCTCCCCTCCGCCTGGGGACAGACCTCCCGCGGAGGACCCGCGCCGCCTGCATTAGGGGACGGGCCTGCCGGCCGACAGCAGAGAACGCGTCCCGACCCGTGATCCCCCTCCCTGGGGCACACGTGGGCCAGAGATGACGCCGGTGGTCTGCCTGCTCCCCTATGGTGTCCCTTCCCTGTTCCTTCTCCTCCTCCTCCTCCTCCTCCTCCTCCTCCTCCTCCACTTCTACAGTCGGGCTGCTGAAATGAGGAACCCTAAATGAGGAACGAAGTCCCTTTTTGGCACCAAAAGCGCCTGCGTGCACGAGGAGTGCTAGAGGAGCAGCCATGGAAGGATCGAAGGAACAGCAAGACCCCTCCGAAACCAGGCTGTCCCTTATTTTAACATATTGGCTCTATTTCGCGTCGGACGAAAACGAGGGGACACCAAAGGGGGGCTCACGGACCGGTGCCGAGGAGGAGCGCTAGGCGGCGGGGCCAAAACCACGAGATGGCGCAACCCGCAAAGCTTTCCCAATCCCCCCATGATCCGACCCGATACCCAGCTCCCGCTCCAGCTCCACCTTTGCTTGCTATCAATGAGCACTCCTTTGTTGCATCCTTGGGGGACCTTGTCTGTCTCCAAGCGGCCCTATCAACGTCGAATCCGTGTCAAATTCATTTCGGACTCGTCGGATCCGTGGCGAATTCGTGTCGAATCCGCGTCGAGTCCGCATCGAGCCCGCGTCTGGCACAAAAAAAGACACCAATTTGGGGGACAAGCGAGGCCCCCCCGAAGATGCAACGTGATCCACCCCCTTCCCCAACCAGGCGACCTCCGACCAAATATACGCTTCCCCTCACCGTCTGCGTCAACGAACGATGCTCACTGGAGGCACGCACCCTGCAACATGCCAAACGCAGTCACCCCACAATCACCGTCAAAAGGCACAACGTCCACGACATACCTGACACGCATATCCCACCATCACTGCCGAATAACAATTCAAACTGCACGTCGCGTCTCCCCCAATCACAAGGCAACAATGGCGGATTTCGAGGACAGCATCATCCGAGGGAGCGCGATCCACCGCGGCTGTGCTGAACAAAAATCCCTGAGGGGGTCAAAGAACCGGGGGGGGCTCCCCCCTCCCCCCCAAAAACAACGCTGAGAGGGGGGGGTCGGAAACAGAGGGGACCCCTCCCCCCCCAACCCCCCCAATTGCACCCCCCCCCCCCCCCCCAAAGAACCTAAAGGTTCAACCCCCCCCACCCCCCGGGCCCTGCTGGGCGGGTTTCGAACCCCACTCCCCTCTCCAGGCCCCCCCAGTGGGTTTCGATCCCCCCCCCCACCTCGCCGCCGGCAAACGACGACGACGAAGACGACGACGACGAACGACGACGACGAACGACGACGACGACGACGACGACAAGACGACGACGAGGACAACGACAACACCAACAGCTGCATTATCGACGACAACGACGAAGACGACAACGACGACGACACGACGAAGACGACGACGACGAAGACGATGCCGACGACGAAGACAACGACGACGACGACGGGCGGACCCTATCGGACGGGTCGGGACGGGCGGACCCTTATCGTGCGGGTCGGGACGGGCGGGCGGGAAACTAAAGTCTGATGCGTATACAGCGTGACATTGAGAACACTAACGGGCGGGTCGGGACAAGCAGACCCTGTCGGGCGGGTCGGGCGGGCGGGACCCTTATGGGCGGGTCGGGTCGGGCGGGCGGGACACTAAAGTCTGATGCGTATACACGAAGACACATGAGCACTCCATCGGGCGGGTCGGGACGGGCGGACCCTATCGGGCGGGGCGGGTCGGGACGGGCGGACGCTATCGGGCGGGCCGGGCGGGCGAACTCTAACGGGCGGGTCGGGTCGGGCGGGCGGGACACTAAAGTCTGCTGCGTATCACCATGACACATGAGAATCCAACGGGCGGGTCGGGACGGGCGGACCCTGTCGGGCGGGTCGGGCGGGCGGACCCTATCGGGCTGGTCGGGTCGGGCGGGCGGGCGGGTCGGGACTGGCGGATCCTATCGGGCGGGTCGGGCGGACCCTATCGGGCGGATCGGGTCGGGCGGGCGGGACACTGAAGTCTGATGCGTAAACAGCATGACACATGGGAACCCTATCGGGAGGGGCGGGGCGGGCGGGCGGGGCGAGTCGGGACGGGCGGACCCAACCGGGCGAGTCGGGTCGGGTGGGCGGGACTGGAAAGTCTGATGCGTATACACCATGACACATGAAACCCTATCGGGCGGGTCGGGTCGGGCAGACCCTATCGGTCGGGTCGGGTCGGGCGGGCGGGACTGGAAAGTCTGATGTGTATACACCATGACACATGAGAACCCTAACGGGCGGGTCGGGACGGGCGGACCCTGTCGGGCGAGTCGGGCGGGCGGACCCTATCGGGCGGGTCGGGTCGGGCGGGACACGAAAGTCTGATGCGTATGCACCATTACACGTGAGAACCCTGACAGGCGGGACGGGACGGGCGGACCCTATCGGGCGGGTCTGGCGGGCGGACCCTATCGGGCGGGTCGGGTCGGGCGGGCGGGACACTAAAGTCTGATGCGTATACACCAAGACACATGAGCACTCCATCGGGCGGGTCGGGACGGGCGGACCCTATCGGCGGGTCGGGCGGGCGGGCCCTATCGCGCGGGTCGGGTCGGGCGGGCGGGACACGAAAGTCTGATGCGTATGCAGTCTGCCTCCTCTCTCCTCCTCTTCCTCCTCCTCCTCCTCCTCTTCCTCCTCGGCCTCGTCCTCCTCACTCTCCACCTCCTCGTCCTCCTCCTCCTCGTCCTCCTCCTCCTCCTCCTCCTCCTCCCCTCCCTCTCTTCCTCCTTCTCTTCCTCCTTCTCCTCCTCCTCATTATCCGTTTCCTTCTCCTCCCCATCCTCTTCGCGTTCTCTCGCCCACTGTCGCTCCCACCCCTGAACCACTGCCCCCTCCCGGTGCTGTTCCTCCCCTTCCCCCGCTCCTCTCCCTCGTCCTTCTTCTCCAACGCAGGTGGACGGGAGCTGGCGCAGATCTGCGACGACGTCCTCCTCGTCGTCGTCGTCGTCGACGTCGTTTGCCAGCGGCGGTAAGGGGGGGGTGTTCGAAACCCCCTGGGAGGGCCTGGGGAGGGGGGGGTTCGAACCCCCCCCTGCCCTGCCCTTGGCGCGAGAATGTGTCGTCGTCGTCGTCGTCGTCGTCGTCGTCGTCGTCGTCGTCGTCGTCGTTCGTTGTTCGTCGTTCGTCGTTCGTCGTCGTCGTCGTCGTCGTCGTCGTCGTCGTCGTCGTCGTCGTCGACGGCGGCTGCGGCGGCGGCGGCGGCGGCGGCCGGCTGCCAAGGGGGAGGGGTCGAAACACCCCGGGAAGGCCTGGGGAGGGAGGGGTGGGGTTCGATTGCACCCCCCCTCTGGTTTTTCGGGGGGGGGAGGGGGGTCCCCCCGGTTCCTGACCCCCCCCCACCATCTGTTTTTCGGGGAGTGGGGAGGGTTGGAAACCCCTCCCCCCCTTGCCAGTGGCGCCAGAAAGCGCTCTTTCCATCATCCTGAAGCGTGCACACCTGGCAATAGATTGCCACCCCACACCAGACCGAGAAACACCCACCCACCAGGACAATGCCACACCTCTCATGCCTCGCAAAAGTGCGACCATGGCACTGGTACACCTGGTGAAACAGGCGTACCCTCTGGCGCACCTGGTAATTACGGCTGGCCAAGTTAGCGCACCTCCTAGAGCCTGGTGCACGTTGCGAGTTCGGCGCAAGTGGCGAAGTCCCTGGCGCACCTGGCGCGCCTGTTGCACCTGGTACCCACACAGGACGCGCTTGCGACGTCCATTGCTGTCACAGGGTGGCTGCATTTGGAGCATATGCGGAGTCTCAAGCGTGGTCTACGCTTGGGAGGTGGCCTGGGCATTCACGAAAAAAGTGGCTACCCTTTCGAGAACATGACCTCCTCACGAACCCACTCCTGCCCTGACTCCACCTTCTCGCCCTCGTGCTTCCGCTCCTGCTCCTGGTCCTGCTCCCGCGTACTGATGACACACGCTCCACGGTATGTGGCAAGCGGGTCAGGGCGTGCTCCGCAGGCTCGTTGCGCTGACGGCGACCGTCCATTTGCTTGGCTCTTGGCCATTAGCGTGACAGAGGTCCAAATGAACACGACAATTCTCCCATCACACTTCCAGTGTTCGAATTGTCTTTGGGTTGCTCGAACATGTCGGCCGAATAAATTCGACATCAAGGCAATCCCAACTCTCCTAGCAAACCCAGGATATAGACCCACCGCTGGCCAATTCGACCTTTGCCATCCCCCCCCCGTTCCGCTCTGGAGGACGAGGTCATCGACGCCTGTAGCCAACGGGCACAAATCGGCCAAACCGGCCTTGAAAGGCTCCACCCAATTGCAGCCGTTGTTGCTCACGCCGTACGTCTGGAAGGGTGTCGCATTTCACTCAGGTGGGAGGTCCAATCACCCACCTGTCCCCACCTGCTAGGCGAAGAAACCAAGCACATGCCAGGGCAACACCTTCAAGGCTCCGAACTGCTGGTAATGCCCCCCGCCCGTGGCAGCAGCAGTGGAGCCGGCACGCACACGCGCGACTATAACTCATCCAATCGAAATTGCGGGTAGAAGGTAGGAGTCATTGGGGTTGTGCTGACAGTGACGATAGTGATGGCGTTGATGTTGAGTAGCTAGAACTTCAGGCACACACGACAACAGCTGCTGCTGTTTCAAAGACTAGGGAAAGACATCGAAGCCCACAGCATGCGCGGACCCGGAAGCAACTCCGAGACTCCAAGCATGCATGTTCACCGAAGCTGCCCCTTCCGGACAGTATTTTCACTGTACCATGCAAACTGCGAACACACACACACACACACACACTACGCCCTCTGGCGGAAACGCTCCCGACGCATCCGCCATCTGGCGTGAAGTTGCTGGCAAATCCCCTCCGAACCATGTTCAGGCTGCGCTGTTGTGACGGCTGCCGAAGCAACAACACCAAGATCTGCCTGGGTCTGTCGGCCTCGGGGCTTTTGCGCCCCGCCGCCCGCCCGACGCGGCCAAGATTCGCACCGTACACCAAAGGCCGCCGCATAGATTCGTGATGCTTCAGAAGCACACGAACTCGAAAGGCTGCGGAAATCCAGCAACTAATCCAGGTATCTGAAGAGTCCCCGCGAGGACCCCAGAGGCGTTCGATCCTACTTGGCCAATCGCATTTGCATTGGTTCGAAACGCCCAATCGGCTTGTCGAAACATACGGGTGACTGAATCTGCCTGTACCTCCACTCGGAACATTTGGCCCCTCGCTGGCCCGTCCGGAACTTGAGGAGGCGGATGGCGAGGAGTTATATTCCCTGGGCTCAGCTTTGTAGACGCACTCATGTGTAAACCAATGTAGCTAAATAACATATCAAGTGTCAACGTTTCTATGCAATTCGCCGTGGCCAACTATTACTTCGGTGTTATATTTGGAATCTTCTGCATCCATGACCATCAGAGGTTGCCCCGGGTCTATCTGGGGAAGGGGCGGCGGAAATATGATAGTGATCAGAGCTGGAGGGGAGGGGAAGGACATTGGGGAGGGAAGGGAACCTTGCGCAGCTCTCTGGGCCACCCCTGAGCACCAATATAGCATTCCTCTACTGCCTCTCGCGAAATGAATGTCGGTTTCAGTCGATGCATCTGCCTTTTTCACTCGATGCATCATCTAATTCTAACTACCCCGTCTCAAATTTCGAACATCAAATCTAGCAAGCAAATGCTCGACTCCAACAGTGCACATTCCCACTGATACGCTGAAAGATACCATCCTGCTTGCCCAACGGACAATCCGCGTTGTAGAACAGCGGATCCCTTGCACGCATGTCGGTGTGCATGCCGTCACACTGAGAGCGCATTTCTGTCTGCGAAACATATGCCCCAATAAAAATGCAGCATGTGGGAGGGAATCACCAAGTCGCCACTGGCGCGCCAAATCGCTCTCCTCCTACGAATACTTTGTATTGTGGTTCCCCTTGGCGAAATCCCGTGCAAATGCACTCCTACTGGAAAGAGCCATTACCATTACGTAGTTGATGGTGGTATCGGCATCAACTCCGCAAGGTTGGGCGAAATCACTTTCGCTGGAAGATGTGCCCATCAAGTTGCAACATGTCCGCCACCGTGCCGTGGGGCACCAAGCGGAATATTGTCAAGTCCCTCCGAATTCTCTGTGATGAGCAGATTACATCAGCTCTTCAAGGCGCCGACACCCCCACCTTCTGGGCTCTCTTGGGCGCTACCGCGCGCTCCTGGGACTTGCCGCCGCGTGCCTCCCGGGCCGTGCCGCATAACGTTTCCTGGGGCCAGAGGGCCCGAAAACGAGCCAAGGGGGCCCCGAGGCGCCCCCAAGATGGTCCAAGAGGGCTCCGAGACGGCTCATGAGGGCCTCAAGGCGCACAAGACGGCCTGAAGACGGCCCTCAAGACGCGCCAAGTGAGCCCCAAGATGACGCCCGAGAGAGCCCCGAAGAGGCAAACTCGACGGAGCTTCCTTCGATGTTCTTGCCTTGTCGGGCTTCCGACCGCCCAGGACGGCCCGCGAGGCACCCAAAATCGCCCCAAGAGGTCCCCAAAACGGCCCAGTAGGGCCCCAAGGCCGGCCCAAGAGGGACCCAAGGCGGCCCAAGATGACCCCAGCAGGGGCCTCACGAACTGACATTCCGAGCACCCCGCATAGGACCCCCGAGACCGCCAGCAGGCCCAGAGGGGGCTCCCTGGAAGCCCCCTGGAGGCCTCCAGGAGGCCCCCAAGATGACGCGCAGTTTTTGGAGCTCGAAATCCTGTGCCAGGTGGGCGGGTAGAACTTTGGCCGAGCCTCGAGGGGCGGTGAGGGGAGGGGATGGGGACGCTCCGTCAGAAGGTGAGTCGCCCCCCCTCCAATTGTTATGCCCCTCCTCCTCCTCCTCCTCCTCTTCCTCCTCCCTCTCTTCCTCCCCCTCTTCCTCCCTCCTCCTCCGCCTCCTCCTCCTCCTCCCTCCTCCCTCCTCCCTCCTCCTCCCTCCTCCCTCCTCCTCCTCCCTGAAGCCCCCCGAAGGCCCCTACGAGGCGCCAGGAGACCCCCAAGAGGCCCCAAGGAGCCCTCCAAGCAGCCCCCGAGAGGTCCGAACATGCATCCAAAGGGCCTCTGGTCCGCGATCCCAGGCACGGTAGCGAACGGGCCGAGGGCCACCAAATGGCTGTTTTGAGCGGGGACCGACCGTCCTGGCATTTCTATAGTCCTACCACGAAATGTTTTCAGAACCCAAACATATTCTAAGAACAAAAGCAATGTTCTTAAACATAAGCCCGAGATGATAAAACAAGACAGACTCCGCCAGAACTGTTCTAAGAACATTTCGTGGAAACCACAAAAGGTTCCTAGAACATTGTTTGGTGGGGCTATAGGCGAGCCAGGACGCTTCGCCACTGCTTGACTGTTGGCGAGAAGCCTGCTCACTGAAGCAGCTGTAAAAGTTCATCTTCAGCAGCGGCACTGCACTGGAAATCGCACTCGCTCCCATCGCAACATGCGGGGTCCAGCCAACGACGGTGCCCTGGGCCACTGCGCTCCGAGTGGCCCTGGGACCGCTCCACTCCCCTCCCTTCTGCCAGCATCCCTCGGAAGCTGGGCGAAGGCCGCTAAAACCGTGGCTGCTAAAACGGCCCTCCCAGAGGGAAGAAACAACTTCCCGGAATGAGGCGCGGCACGCGAAACAATCAACGGGCTTCTTCCTGGAAGGACGAAGACAACTTCCCGGAGGTCGACTTTAGCAGCCACGGATTTAGCAGCCCTTGCCCGGCTTCCGAATCCCGCCACGGACGGACGGACGCTGCAGTTCGCGCCGGAGCCCCATAGTGGCCTCAAACGGCCCAGAACTCCGAAGAACGTCCCGAGATGGCCCACCAATCCCCTGCAGCGGAGCAAAGCATCAACCTCACAGGTCCTGGGGGGAAAGCTAGAGCAAATGAAGGAAAACGAACTCGGCATGAGGGAGAAGCTGTCCTGTCCGGGCGAGGAAGTGTCACAGTGACTGGCATACACAATATGTTGAATAGGTTTTTGGCGACTGCAAGATCACAACCATATGAGTCTGTAACCACCTTTTGTGGCATGCGCAATACAGCCCTATGAAGACACACGTTATATAATATATGCTTAGACGCGTCATCCTTATCCCTTCTGTTCGGTCGTCAACAAGTAGCTGTGCTCGCATGCCTTCTCCGAACACATCGCTCGCACCTGCAACCAGTGAGAAATTTCACTGTTTTGGCGCATCTACTGGCGTATGCTGTATCCCCGCTATATATATATATACATGCATACCTACACATGTATGTATACATATGTAATGCATGTCTTTATGTTATTCCACGATGGAACTGCGTTTATCACAGATGCCCAGGTCGGCCTCTCCTCTCCAAAATTACATTGCTCAGAAATCGCACTACATCCGCAACCATGCCGAAGGGAACGGCTCGGCTCGAAGGCGGAGGCCCCGTGGCGCAGGGGAGCAGAAAGAGGCGGCCGAGGGAGGGAGGGGGAGGAGGAGGAGGAGGAGGAGGAGGGGGAGGAGGAGGGAGAGGGAGGAGGAGGAGGAGGAGGAGGGAGGAGGGAGGAGGGAGGAGGGAGGAGGAGGGAGGAGGTGAAATTACTCAGAACCCTTCGAAAACTTTCACAGTAGGCAAAAAGCCCGGATTCCTGGGCGCTCCTGGCCTCTCCCAAGAGCATCTGGGGGCGGTTCGCCAACGGTTCCCGGCCTCGGGAGGCGCAGCTGGAAGTCCAAAGAGCCCAGCATAGTGGAAGATGGTTCCAGAAGAGCGCTTTCCTGGAGCCCTGTGGAGCGCCTCTAGGGACGTTTTGGAAGCTCTGGGAGCTGCCTCAAGAGCCAGGAAGTCTCAACCGCAGCAGGTTTTCAGATGTTTGAGCGTTCTCGCCTTTTCGGTTTTATGAGCGCCCAGGACGCCCCCAAGATCGCCATGAGACGGCTTCCAAACATCCAAGAGTGCCCCAAGAGGCCCCAAGAAAGGGAACACGGACTTACATTTTGAGCCCTCCACCACAAGACGGCGTCCGAGACTGCCAGGCAGCCCCCAAAAGGTCCCAAATAGAGATTCCCGAAATACCCGCAAGGGGTTCCCCAAAGGACCCAAACAGGTCCTCTAAGAGCCTCCCGAGAGATCCCACGAGACATGCAAGAGGGAAGCCGCCAGGAGGTATTACATGAGCACGTGCGAGGCCAGCTTGTCATAACTTGTCAAGCAAAAAGGCAGATCTGCAGGGGCAGACGTCTCTTTCGAGAGACGATGGCCAGATGGTCGGAACCTCTGACACAATTCCCGTTTTCATGGTGTTCTTTTCGGGTGGGAAGGGGACGTGTCTGATTTCAGAGCCTCGTGGCCACCGCGATGCATCAATCATGGCACCTGGGCATCCCAAAGGGGCAACCCCAGAGGGTGTGAAACGGGTGCGTTCGTGCCCAGAGTCTTGGAACCTATCAGGCGCATTGCCGCTTTTGTGGGGGGGGTAGACTCGCCTCGTTTGAGGCCCCCATGATAATCACGATGTAGCAGCAACGACACTTGAGCATCCCACGGGGGAGCCGCCAGAACGTATGACACGGGCCCGTTCGCGCCAAGATTGCCAGGACCCATCAGGCAGAATCGCTCTTTTTGGGGGGGGATGGACGCTTCCCTCCCCAGAGCCCCATGGCAATCGCGATGCAGCATGGTGCGAAAGGCAAGGCGCCAATGGGTATAGCACGGGCCCGTTCGTGCCCAGATTGCCTGGACCTCTCTGGCGAACCGCCTGCTCCAGCCCCAAAGGCGAAGCCCCATTGAAGTGCTCGTGTGCCGCGATGCAGATGGCATGGCACTTCGGCATCCGGCAGAGCCAGGGGGAGGGCCCTCTCATGCCCAGACTCAATTACATTCAGAGCCCCACTCGCACCAAGTCGCTCAGACTCGCTCGTATTGGAGGCCTGGAACTTGGCACCAACACCAGCCCAGGTGGTTGCCTCCACAGGGGGAATATGATCCTAGATTTCGGTGTTGGTGGCAATATTTCGGCCACCCTGGAAGCCAGAATATTACCACCATCACCGGGATCGGGATCGTCTTCCCTCGGTGGAGGCGCACCGCCGATCTTGGTGTTGGTGTCAACCTCTAGGCCTGCGATCGTACTCAGATACATCGAAGGGGAACGACTCAGAACAGAACTGCACAGCTGGGGATCTCCGGGTCGCATAGTTCGAACCGATTCGCCTCTTCGGCCTCAAAAGCATCCACAACGGACAAAACAACACCCAAGAGCGTGCCAAGACGGCCAACCGGACCCTAAGGCTCTCTTAGCATCTCTCCCCCTTGAGCCCCCTAATCCGTCAGTAGGCCGCTCAGAGGCCAAGAAGTGGCCGCCAAATGCACTCGAGAAGTCCGCAGGAGGACTCCAAGAGGCCCCCAAGAGGCCCCGCCAGAGACCCCAAAGGTCTCGAGGCCTCGGGTCCACATGCCACTAGGAGGGATACGGAGGGATACCTTGTGGGATCGCATCGTTGAGGTAAGTTGGGTGTGTGTTTGTTTGTTTGTTTGTTTGCTTTTGTTGTGTGTGTCGTTTAGTTAGCTTCTTCCGCCAGCGCAGACGACCCCTGCCTGTCCGCCGACGGAAAAGGTGTGCCTGTGTGTTTGTGTGTGTCTGTCAGTGTGGCCTTTGGAATCGCACTGTCTGCCAAACCGCTGATCGTGAAGATTTCTATAGTCCTGTTGCAGCGCAGCTGGAGGCTTTCATCGCCTTCCACTTGCCTGGGTGATTCTCACCCTCCAGCTGCCATTCAGGATCTCTAGCTCGGAAATCGACAACTATGGTTACGGTTAAACTACTTTGCAAACTGACTGCGTTGTGGAATATACGCCTCATCGGCTGCCAATCGCATAGATTCATTATTTGTCTGTCTGGCTCAATCCTGAACCGGCGTTCCCCGCAACTTGTCCAGGGTCTGCCTCGGCCACCACCCGCAGTCAGAATGAAACTGTCATCTTGCCAACAATTAAGTTTGTGTGCGCGCGCGCTCACACCGACTGCTGGCATGCATGTCGCAAAACCGCACGATGAAATCTGAACGCTGACTTTGCGGATCCGCCATGTCATCATTCCCCGCGGTGCCGATACCTTTACGTCTACGTCGACCCTTCTGTTTACTTGCGCCATTCCAAAGATGAAAAAGACGTAATTCCAATCGAATGCACGCACTGTGCGCGGAAGAATCGAATGTACCACAAAGCATCAGTCCTGGAGACCACGGTAGCGGTTTGTGAGCTGCCAGCGCTTCGTCATTGGGATCTCGACTCCCGACTTGAAGAGTGCCTTCTCGCTTTTGTACTGGTTGGACCCCAGCAAACCCTGCGTCTTTCTCCTTTTGGAGTCGGCGAGAAAGGAAGACCACGAAGGAAGCGTGCACACACACACACACACTGCTTGCACCCCCCAAACGCATCGTAATTAAAGCCAAGCTGGGCTATTTTACAGCTGTAGCTCGGGACACGTCCTGAACTGACTTAGGATATTAAAAACCTAAGACGTAAGTTGGGCTGGTCTTTTGGTCCAGACTGGCAAACTGCACACCTCAACTAGCATACAGCTGCAGGTAGAACAATTATTATGTAATCCGAGAATGCGGCCAAGCCAATTCATGCACACTACGATTCAAGCTGCCTCGCGCAGCGTCCAAATACGGCGTATCAATATGTACTCTTCCCCGCCCAGGCAACATCCTCCCCCGTGGTTTCCCCCAGACGGACGTTGGACGATGTCTGGCTCCATGTCTGCCCCTGTCTGTAAGACAACAGATGCCACTAATGCTCCAAGCCTGCGGAAGCAATCGCATTCAAGAACCATCGCATCAAATCGCGGAATGAGGCGGGAGGGGGGAGGGAAGGGGGGGAAGCTGAACTACACGACGCAATCCCACTCGTGTAGATCATCGTCCCTCATTCTTTACCTTCTCCATAATTTCTGGGGCGAGACACGAAGAACTGGAATCTCTGCATCACCTGGAGACCATCCCGATGGATCCCGACTAGAAAAGGTTGGAGGATCGCGCCGCATCGCAGATGCACCGGCAATCATGACACCACTTCTTCGTAGAACCTGAGGCGGTTTGGCCAGGCAGCAAAGCCCCCCTGTGCGCACGAGACGATTCAGGAGGACAGAATCTGGGTCGAATTCGGGACCTGTTGCAGCAATTCTAGGATTAAGTTGGGCGTGTCCCCCTACAAGGGGATTTCCGAGGAAACATAAAAAAATAATAAAAAAAAAAAACACCAAAATGGCCAAAAAAGATTCAAGAAATAGTCCCCAGACTATTTTTGACTATTTTTGAATATTCCCCCTGTAGAGGGACAGGCCCGACTTAATTCTAGGAGGACCTGGACAGGGGGACGATCGAAGGCTGAGAAGCAGACTCAGTGCACCTGCCCCGGTACTGCACCTCGTGGACCCGCCTTTCCACGTCCTCCTCCTCCACCTCCGACTCCTCCCCTCCTCCCTCTCGTCCTCTGCTGTCCTCTGCCCTACTGACCTCTGCCCCTTCTCCTCCTCCTCCTCCTCTTCCTCCTCCTCCTCGCGCTTCAAGAGCACTGTCTCCTCCTCTTCCCCTCCTCCTCCCTGCCCGCTCCCTTCTTCCACAAGGTGCGAACAGCAACATCGCGGGTGCCTCTCCGAAAATGTACGAAACAAATCCTCTCTTCAGACAGCGGCCTACCGTCCACCCGTCCCGACTCCTGGCCATGGTGGAGTACGAAATAGGCAAAGAGTTGGTCGGGTCGCGACCCTCATCGCGAGGGGACGCCGCTGACATGAGGGCGATGTCGTGGAACGTCGGCGAGTCCCACACCAAATGCACCTCGGCACACGATCAAACCCACAGCCCACGAGCACATGGCTGGTCGGACAAATCCCTTGACAAAGCCTCGCATCCCTGTACCCGTGGGAGGGGCGCGCCATTGCTCCGCGGCCCATCATGCTCACCCTCGAGGCTGACTGGGAGCCCCACTCCCATCTCGTGCATCTTGTCAATCGTGTCGAAGAGGACGCCCGTCCTACGGGCTTGCACCGTCAATCGATCGCTGCAACCGTCGTCTTCTGGATACCGGAACACCACGTTTGTTCACGTGTCAAAAATCGTCGATATCGCTCTCTCATGAGGCCGGACGGATGGGCAAGGCACTTACGAAACTACACATTTACGTGAATGACGGCTGCATTGCCATCTCACAAGGACAATCCACCACCGTGCACGTTGAGGCATGGTATATTACCAAGGGCTGTCTAGTAGTTGTAATATTCGATGGTTCCCCCCCTCTCGTCACGCTCAGTTGCGTGCATCGACCCCCTCGAGGCCACGATCTTTCGTGCAAAAAGATAGATCCGACCCCCACCCCCGAGGCAACGATCCCTCGTAACAAAAACGAAGGGTCCGCGCTGCCCAGCTTCCAGGACGGCCCGAGCAAGAGTCAAGGCCGCAAAGACGGCCCAAAACGCCACCAAGATAGCCCCAAGGCGGTCCAAGATGCCTCCGATAGCGTCCAAGAGGGACACCAGAGAACCCCGACAAGGCCCGATGAAGCCAACATCATGGCGGTCCTTTTATCGACAGATGCGCGCCAGAGCGTCCTTTACCCCACCCATGCGGCCCGCTCCCTCTCCACAAGCACGGTTCCCACTTATTACTTCGGGAGTCCGATTTACACGCGCCTCCCAAGTGGCAATACCAACACTGAGCAGCCGTGCGCGATCACATCGTGCCCCGTCGGGCTGGAACCACTAGGCGCATCCACTGATCATCAGACACCCCTTCGGGCCGCGACCATCGGGAGCAGGGACCAACGCTGCCCCGAAGGGCCGCGATCCTCTGCGATTTGTTGTCGGGCCGCGACCAACAGGAGCAGGGGCCAACGCTGCCCCGACGGGCCGCGATCCTCTGCAATGCGAGGTGCTCTGGACCTACTCGCCCGCGGCGAAGGGTGGGCGCCACTGGGCTCAACGCGGCCCACCAGGGCCAGTCTCTGAGACCCCAAGGACGTGCTCTCCACGAGTGCGGGGTACGGAGTTTCCTAGCAACAAGATAGGGCACGGTCGAGACCCATATCTCAAGACCGAGCCCGCGGGGATACAGCTTTGGAGGAGCGGAACAACCGTCGCGCTACTCGTTGCTCCCCCGCCATACTCCCGCGCGCTGAGCCGCGCGCCCATCATGGAAGTCCTTTCATCGCCAGACCCGCGCCAGAGCGTCGTGCGCGTGCGGGCTGGCGCCAGGCTCGCGCCCCACCCATGCGGCCCGCGCCACCCGTCGGCGCCCTTGTCTCCACTTACCACACCGGAAGCCGCGTTCGCACTCGTCTTTCGAAGTGGCAGGGCCGACAGCGAGCGGCCTTCGGCGATCGCATCGCGCCCCGGGGCCCCGTCGGGGCGGGGCCACTGGGCGCCTCCACCGATCGCTCAATAGCTGGATGCCACCTACGACGAAGCACACGCCCAAGAAGACACTGGAGAAACGCAAGCCAAGAAGCACACGGGGAACCGCGAAGAAACTCACATATCCCCTTCTCCAGGATGACGACCTAGCCGCCCTTACAGCAACTCCGATGGCTTCCAGCTCTTTGCTGGCACCTGAAAAATTATCCCAGAGCGACCCTACCTAGGAGTTGGAGCCCCTAGGAAAGCGATATTAGTAGTAACGGTAAACGCCGTCCTCCTCCTTCTCCTCATCGTCGCAGTTGTAGCAGTAGCGGTAGTAGTAGTGTTACGCTATGCTATGCTATCCTGCGCTATGCTATGCTATGCCGTGCTGTGCTGGGCTATGCTATGCTATGCTAGGCTATGATATGACATTATATGCTGCGCTATGCTATGCTATGCTATGTTGCGCTCTGATATGATATGCTACGATTCCCTACCTAGGCTCTGCCTAGAAGGGTTCTTACTCTCTTAGCTTAAAGGGGCCGGGCAGTGCAAAGCGCCCCGGGCGGTTCCCCCAGTCCCCTGGGAGCGGTTCCCCCCAGTCCCCTGAAAGTTTTAGCTTTAGCTTTAGCTTTAGCTTAGCTTTAGCTTAGCTTTAGCTTAGCTGTAGCTTAGTTTTAGCTTAGCGTTTCGCTTAGTGTTTCGCTTAGCGTTTAGCTTGGCTGTATCTTAGTTTGAGCTTAGCTGTAGCTTAGCTTTAGCTTAGCTTTAGCTTAGCTTTAGCTTTAACTTTAGCTTAGCTTTAGCTTAGATTTAGCTTAGCTGTAGCTTAGCTTTAGCTTAGCGTTTCGCTTAGCTTGAGCTTAGCTCTAGCTTAGCAGTAGCTTAGCTGTAGCTTAGCTTTAGCTTAGCTTTAGCTTAGCGTTGCTGTTACTACTAATGCTGCTTTCCTAGGGGTTCCAACTCATAGGTAGGGTCGCACTGGGATAATATGCTATGATATGCTGTGATGTGCTGTGCTATGCAATGCTATGCTGCGCTGTGCTATGCTAAGCAATGCTATGTCATGCTATGCGATGCAATGCTATGATATGATATGCGATGATATGCAGAGCTATGCTATGCTGTGCTATGATATGCTATGCTATGATTGGCGATGTTATGCTATGCTATGCTGCTCATGCTGCGCTGCGCTATGCTGCGCTGCGCTAAGAAAAGCTAAGCTAAACTAAGCTAAGGTATGTTAAGCTAAGCTACGTTAAGCTAAGCTAGGCTAGGCGAAGCTAAGCTAAACTAAGCTAAGCTAAACTAAGCCATGCTAAACTAAGCTAAGCCAAGCTAAGCTCAGCTAAGCTAAGATGAGCTAGGCTACGCATAGCTAAGCTAGGCAAAGCAAAGCAAAGCAAAGCTAAGATGAGATAAGCTAAGCTAAGCTAAGCCAAGCTAAGCTTAGCTGAGCTAAGCTACGCTAAGCTAAGCTGGGTGAACCCAGGGGGCGGGACTGGGGGGACCGCGGGGCGGGGACTGGGGGGACCGCCCGGGGCGCGTTCCACTGCCCGGCCCGTTTAAGCTAAGAGAGTAAGAGCCCTCTAGGCAGAGCCTTTGTAGGGAAAAAAACACCTCCTGAGAGCCTGGATCGCTTCGCTTCTCGCTCGTTTTGCGAGCTCCCCTCCACCCGCGGGGGCATTGCGCTGACCGTCTGGCCAGCAGCACGTCGGCCATTCCGCGAGAGCACTGGCAAGACAGGAAGAGGATCGGCCAGCCCAGGCCAAACACCACCAGCGCGATCAGCCCCTTAGTGTCGCTCCTGCGTTCCAGCGGCACTCGTGGCTCTCAGCAGCGCGCCCCCCCCCCCCCCCCGAGTCGCTCGGCCATCTTGGATCGCGCGCGGGCCAAGCGGGGGCGCTGCCAGGCCGTCGGACATTGTTCAGACAAGACGGCGCCCGCCTCCTCGCCGCAGGGTGCCAGGCCCAGCTGCAGCAAGCCTCCCATTCACCTCGCCAGCGCCGGGCCCGCGGGCGCTGGCCTTGGACCCTGCCGCGCAGGTGGCGCCACCTGCAGGCGCCGAAGCCCGTTCCTCGGCCGGACTGCGCCGTCCGTTCCGGCGACACCCTGCGCGTAGCTCCAGTTGGCGACCATCGCAGGGTGGCGCTGACCCTCGTGGCGCAAAACGGCAGGCCCTGGCGCTCACCGCTCCTGAACGCGTGGCACCAGCACCATCCTCCTAGGCGGCAGCGGCGGCGCCCCTTCGGAACGCGCCGCCCCGCGGCCGCCCGCGCCGCCGGGGGCCGACGCCATGGCCCTGGGGCGCCCCGCAGCGAGGCGACCACGCGTGGCGCACGCCCATCCTTCGGCGCCCTTGTCAGAGCTGCCGTCGCGGGCGCCAGCGGGCGCCGCCGTCGGCAGCGCTGCCGTCGGCGCCGTCGCCAGCGCCATGATGGGCGCCGTCGTCGGCGTTTAAATCCTCTGCCCTCCAGGCGAATACACGGCTGGTGTGAACGCTGCAGGCATGGATCTGCAGCGCGGGCCCAAACTCCACCAACCCGACGGAACAGGTCTTCGAGCGCCGCCCCGCAAACCGGCCAGATCCTCTTGCCCAGAGGCCGAGTAAACGGTGGCTCCGACGAAGTCTTCGTGGCCCCCCAGGGTCAGCGGCGGCGCGGGCCCCCCGGCGAGCTCGGCCGACAGACCTGCTGCCCGCGTGGCGGGCTCGTGCAGCGCGCAACTCGCGTCGGCGACCAGCGCGGGGAGGTCGACCCGACTAATGGCCCCGCAGCACTGGAGGCCACGGCGCTGCCCTGGCCCATGGAAGTCGCCACGCAGCATGCTCCCGCGGAAGCTTGCGCGTGCCATTGGTAGGCGACCGTCGCGCGCAGAGGGCCGCGCTGGCCTCCAGAGTTCTCAACGGTGGCCTCGGCGCTTGCCCCCGATGCTGAACAGGGCTGCGTGCCTCGCGCCACTGACGACGCGCGAGTAGCTCAGGCCACCGGCCACTGAAGCAAGGTCGCGTCGACCGAGACCGCTGGAAGCGCAGGCCACGGCGCTGCCATCGTCCCCGAAGAGCACCGCGCCGCTCCGACCAGCAGCACCCTGTGCAGAGCTCAGGTCGGCGACCAGAACGCCAGGGCCCCTGCAACGGCCGCCGCGGCCAGCCCGAACAGGAGGCGCCCGCCCGTGAACAAAACCCCCTCCAGCACTGGGGTCGGCCCACAGCGTCTTCAATTTCTCGCAGCTGGTCAAGCGAGCGCTCCGCACGCGGAACATTGGACAGGTCCGCGGCCGACGTTGGATATCCACGTGGTGCCCGACTCCGCCGTGGTGGACACCGTGGCACAGCTCGATTCCGCCGAGGTGGATACCGAGAGGGGCATGCCGCACCGCCGCTGCCCCGAGGGCAAACGCGCGGGGTCCAGCCCCGCAGGCAAGAGCAGCGTCCCCCCGCGCGGGAGCGCAGGCCACTCCCCAGAGAGGCCACTTCGAACAACTGGCTGCAGCGCCGCCCAGGCCAGGCCACGATGGTCCGCTGCTGGGCGGCGTGAGACCGCGGGCCGCGGGAACGGCCAGCGGGGGACCCCCACCCATGCCCAGCAGCGGCGTCCCCCCCCCCCCATTGGGGCGGATACCACACGCTACCTGCATCGCCATGAACATCACCGGCGCCGCCGCAGCCTAGTGCCCTTTTGCAGCTGGCCGAAGCACGCCGCTTCATCGCCATCGCCGCGGCTGCGTCACGCACCCGAAGGGCCTCAGGGATTCTCGTGGCGCCCCGCCTCCACGGGCTGAGGTGCACGGGCGGGGCGGCCAGCGGCCCGCACGCCGACGCCACGCGCGCGCGCGTGCGACTCTTCCCCCCGTGGAGGACCAACACCCCGCAGGGCGGAGCCTGGAGTTCGTGTCTAGCCAGGCGGCCCTCCCGCCGCTCGGCCCGCCCGTCCAGCGGAAGGTGGGGAATGGCCCGCGGCGCACCCGCGGCAGCCCCGAGTGGGAGGTAAGCCTCCCATGGTTGCCGCGGAAGGCGGGGGGTGTCGCCCGAAGCTGTTTGGGGACACTTGAATTCAAACAACTGCGGAGAAACCGTCGCGATATTCGTTGCCCCCCGCCATCCCTCCCGTCCACTGGGCCGTACATTCATCATCGATTTCTCGCCGGTTATCTGGCTTCAGCATTCTCTCAGTTTCGGGCTTACGTCAGCTCAACCGGGCCTAAGAAGCTTCAGATATGGCCCCAAGAAGGTCCAAGAGGTCCCCACGACGGTCCTAACACGGCCCCAGAGGACTCCATCATGGCCCAGGAGGCCTGCAAGACGTCCCCCAAAAAGGCCTAAGAAGACCTCCAGAGAAACCCCAGACTGCCCTAGAAGGCCGTTCGACGGCCCAATACATTGGACCTCCAAAACGGCCCCACGAGGGCCTCAACCCTAAGGGACACCCAAGACTGCCCCACAGAGCCCAAGACAGCCCCAAGACGGCCCACATGCGTTCCGCGAGAGAATCTCAAGAAGAAACGCAGACAAACCTGTCACGCGTGATGGTTTTCCTCTCCCTCGAACGTAGAGAGATATGCCCTGGGTCTGGTTCTGCCTGAGCGCGTGGTAGGTCTCGCTACCTACGCCTTCACACGGATGCGAATCCCTCGCTGGTTCGCGGGGGCGATCAATGGCTGTTCTCTCCCTCCTCCTCCTCCTCCTCCTCCTCCTCCTCCTCCTCCTCCAGTCCCCCTCCTCCTCCTCCTCCTCCTCCTCCTCCTCCTCCTCCTCCTCCTCCTCCTCCTCCTCCTCCTGGTCACCATCATCCCCATCGTCTTCGTCACGGCTCTCCCAAACGTGGGGACGCGAAATGTCACACGTAACGGCATCCCGTGCCCCCTCGACCAATCGCCACCCAAACTGCTGGGCTACCACGGTGGCGGGACTTGCCGCAGACAGCTGCATAAACTGGTAGTCAGGGACGCTGAGCAGCCAAGCCCCATGAGAAGTACAAGGGCCACCATGGTTCGATGCTCCTTCCTATGTCCATCATTCCCATCAAGTGGTCACTGTAATCACTCACTCACCCCATGCAATCAGAATGCGTCACAATCCCACTCCTCTCATCGCATCTCCTCCTACCCCTCCTCCCATTTCTGCCCTCCCTTCTCTTCTATCTCGTCCTTTTTTCTCGTCTTCCTCCGTAGCCATGTTGGCTCAAGGCGAAACGGGCCGAAACTTCAGAGAGGCGAGGTAACATGATTAGCATTGGGCCCGTCCTGGGCCAAGAATCTCAGACACGACAGGACTTTACCGCGCTCCGCTTCCTAGGAGGGATTCATGTCCACGCTGCCGCGGGGTCGTCGCGCCGACGTCGCATCTGACGTCCACTCCCTGCTGGGCGCGGCCCCCTGCTGGCAGTCCAGGAAGACTGCACTGGATAGCTGCTTAGTCATAGGTATGCTGTCCCATGGATTCTTGTGGGGGAACACGTGTGGGGGGACACGTGTGTCAGCGCAGTGGAGGAGGAGGAGGAGGAGGAGGAGGAGGAGTAGGAGTAGGAGGAGGAGGAGGAGGAGGAGTAGGAGGGGAGGAGAGGGAGGAGGAGGAGGAGGAGAGGAGGGAGAGAGAACGGAGAGGGAAGTGAGCAGGAGGAGGAAGAGCAGGAAGAGGGAGGCGGGGAGGAGGAGGAGAGGAGGAGGAGGAGGAGGAGGAAATAGAGGCAGAGGGAGGGGAGGAGAGGAGGAGGAGGAGAGGAGGGGAGGAGGAAGGGGGGAGGAGGAAGGAGATGGAGGGGAGTAGGAGGAGGTAGTGATGACGGAGGAGGAGGAGGAGGAGGAGGAAAGAGAGGAGAGGGAGGGGAGGAGGAGGAGGAGGAGGAGGAGGAAAGAGAGCAGAGGGAGGAGGAGGAGGAGGAGGAGGAGGAGGAGGAGGAAGAGAATAGGCAGTGAGACGAGCGTGTCAGGAGACACGTGGATCACCGCAAAGTTGTAAGCATTCCCAGGCCGTGGCACGTGGCGCGCGTCAACAGTGTTCTTGGCAGAGGCCGACCAGCCCATTCTCAAGCTACAGTCGGCCCGTGTCATGAGGATGCGCGATAAGGATGCAGGAGCCTTGCACGCCTGTTTCGAAGCTTTTCGAGCGCGGCGCGGCGAACGAAAGTGGCCAAGGATGGATCGAGGAGGCAAGGATGAAAGGATACACATGGGAATGTTGCCCATCCTTACTATGTGGGTTGACTGTACCTGAGAAGACAGAAGGAGACAAGCGGGAAAACAGTGGCAGCAGAAGCAGGGGACGGAGAGGGGGCATTGTAATGCACCCGCCGACGCTCTCACGGTCCTTCCCCCAAGAGTACCTGGGAGAGTCGGTTGGGCCGCGTCAAGATGGCGAGTAGCCATGGGAGCATCGGAGAGTGAACCAGGGCAGAACCCAGCAGCAGGACAACCTGACAGGGGATGATCCTCGCCATCGCGAGACCCTCCTGGCGGCTAGGACTCGGTATGCCCAGACCCTCCAGAACCTTTCGTCCGAGGTTCCCGCGCCCGAGGCGCTCCAGCAGATTGAGCATATTATGGTGCACGGCGAGGCTCCGAAGGAGAAGCTGCTGTCCCCCGACGGCGGCAGAAATATCCGGACATATCGAACTTCAAAAGGAACCCAGGCACACCCACAAATACGCAGTCCTGGGTCCCAGAATTCGCAATGTCTTCCATACTTCCTGGATGCTTGTTTTCCCCTCCGCTCCCCACACTTTTCATGCTTCCTGGGAACCGACGATGGGCCACGGCAAATGTGGCGCGTGCTGACTCGTCGCCGATCCGACCCATAGGCACCAGCCGGGCGCAAGCGTGGCCCGCGCTCGGTCGAGCGCCCGAGGGCAAAGGTGGGGGCACCCGACTCCTCCCCCATTTGGCGGCGTGCAGAGCTGACGGGGCCCTGGCAACGACAGGGCCGTTTTTTTACCGATTCCGTTTTGCCGTTTTTTTGCTGGTTCCGGCGCCGTTTTTTTACTGGTTCCGTCGCCGTTCTTTTACGGGTTCCGGCTCCGGCTCCAATCCTGGAGCCGATTTTGTTGCCGTTTCCGGTCGCCGTTTTTTTGCCGTTTCCATTCTCAAGGGACACTTTTTCGGAAACGGTGAACAGACGGCCCTGCCGTTTCCGGGGTCCACTAAGGTGAAGAGGGGGGTAGGGGGAGGAGGAAGGCTTCTTCGAAGGAGGCTGCTTCTGAAAAGACGCAGGGCCTTCCGTCTGCAGACAAGGCCCGCTACTTCTGGGAAGCAGGGGTGCTTCTTAGAAGCCTTCCCCCGTCCCCCTGCCCCCCTCTGCGCTCCTCCTACTCCTCCTCATCCCTCATCCCCCTGCTGCTTCTGCGCACGGAACGCTTGAGGGGAGTCAAGGGCCGCAACCGAACAAATCACAGGACGCCCTCCAAACGCTTGGTCGCTGGCGATCTGGGAAGGGGAGAGAGGAGTAACAGCAGGAGGAAAACTAGGAGCAGGAAGGGAGGGAGCACATGAGTGGAGCGGCTAAAACCATGCGGATGTCCGGCGCGCAGCGTTGATGAAGTTCGAGCCGACCCACACGACCACGGTGTCGCCCTTCTTAGGTTCCAAATCGAGCAACTCGATCTCGCGCCGGATATCCTCATCGGGTGAGCGGGCATGGGGCACACATCCCATGGCTATTTGAGACGCCACTTCACATAGAAGAAACCGTGGCAAGGGCCCAGGCATCTCAAACAATTGCTGTCTCGGCCAGCCAGGTGGATCAGTCAACTGGCAGCAGAATCGCTCTGTTGTATTGGCCATCAGGGAGACGAATGATGGCACGCATGGAACACATGGGCACCTCGAGGTGGCTGGCCGGGTAGATTACATGTGAAACCCATGTCACGAAAGCCTGCATACACCCCAGTATCTTACTAATCCAGACTTCTTGCGCCTGCTCCTCACTCAATGGCAAAGGGTCTGCGCTTCTGACTGCTGTCCTCCACAGGGACGTCCCGCTTGACCCATGCGTCCCAGTAGATGAAGGATGCGACACCGTCCTCGCTGCAGCCTGGGCAATCATACCAAGTTGCGCAACAGACAGACATGAGCAACCGCACAGTTGCGCAGAGCTCTCAGCCCAACGTTGCGACGAGCCCTTCACTCTGCGCCCTTCGCAGCGCATGCCCACATGTCGAGGGCTGCGACGACGGACGGACGGCCCACGGGACGAGCGTTGCAGTCATCCTGAGGCTCCAGTCACCCACCTGCAACGCAGCTCGACCACGAGCGCGCACCATGCCTTCCCCTACGGGCTCCCCGCCCTTGCTGCAGCCTCCGAACATGCCCCACCTCTGAAACACCACAGC